ATCTTCTTCAGATGCCTGCGAATGAGAAAGAAAGGCCTGCCGCGAGAATGAGAGACTCACAGCCTCATCACTTTGCTGCTGCTGCTGCTGCTGTTGCTGCTGCTGCTGTTCTGAGATTCCGGGAGATGGTTCCGGTACAGCCTCTTCAGACGCCTCTGCTGCTGCTGTTGTCGCTGTTGTTGCTGCTGCTGTTGCTGCTGCTCCTGCTGCTGTGTCCTGCCACCGCAGCCTTTGAGGAGGACGCTGCCTTGCAAGAGCCTCGCTTTTGTCGCTGCTGCTGCTTCTGCTTCTGCGGCTGCTGCTGCTGCCGCTGTTGCTGCTGTTGCTGCTGCTGCTGTCACTGCTGCTGCTGCTTCGGCGGCTGCTGCTGCTGCTTAACGAAACAGCGCGTCTTCGTCCGCCCTGGGCTGGAGGCGGCACCAGCAGCGCGTGCTGCTGCTGCTGCTGTTGCTGCTGCTGCTGGTGGAAGACGCCAATGCGCTGCAGCACAGCCCTGCAAAGAGCGCAGCCACAAAACAAAAAAAGGTGCTGCAGCGGCAACAGCAGCAGCAGCAACGCCGCACCAGCAGCAGCAGCAACAAGAACAGGCGTTGCAGCAGCAACAGAAGCAGCAGCAACAAAGGAAGCTGCCGCTGTAGCAGCAACCGCAGCAGCAAAAGAAGGCGCAGCAGCCGCTGCAGCCAACAACAGCGTGCGCAGCAGCAGGTAGAGAGCAGCCTCACTTGCGTGCAGCAGCTCTGTGCTTTGCTGCTGCTCCCCAATACATCAAGAGTCTCCTCATGTGCTGCTGATGCCTCAGCAGCAGCTGCTGCTGCAGCCGCTGCTGCGCCTCTTGGCGCTGCTGCTGCCGCCGCAACACGAGGCCTCGCCACTCCCACAACACCTGCCGCAGCAGAACAGCAGCACTCTGCTGCTGCTGCTGCTGCAGCATCTCGCGCACCTCTGCTGCTGCTCTCTGCAGCCTTCTGCTCTTTGCGGTGTACAACCGCCAGGCAGAAAGCACACGACCTGCACATACACCCCAATAATGCTGCAGCAGACGCAACCTCAGCAGCAGCAGCAGGTGCAGCAGCAGCAGCAACGGCTCCGCAGCTACACCCACGTATATTGGGGTAGGAGCTGCACCAGTAAAGCTCAAACACAGCTGCAGCAAAACAGCAGCAACTGCTGCACCAACTGCAGCAGCAACTACAGTAGGAACTAAAGTAGGAGCTGCAGCAGCAACTACAGAAGCAGCTGCAGCAGCAACTACAGCAGCAACTGCAGCAGCGAGTACAGCAGCAACTGCAGCAGCAACTACAGCGACAACTGCAGCAGCGAGTACAGCAGCAACTGCAGCACCAACTGCAGCAGAAGTCTCACTTTGATGGCGGACTTGCTGCAGCATCAAGAAGTGCTGCAGCAGCGCGCTTGCTGCCTGGGCATAACGCGACAGCGAAAACCAGTGGTTCCAGAAGCCTCGCAGCAGCAGCAGCCTGTGCTGCTGCTGCAGTGCAGCAGCAGCAAGGCCTAGACGCCTCCCCTTTGCTGCAGCAGCAGACATCTGCTGCAGGGACCACCGCAGCAACCGCTGCTGCTGCTGCTGCTGCACCTGCTGCGCGCATGCACGCATTCGCTTCTCCCGCATCCAATAGGAACGCCACTGCAGAAGCACTTCTCTTTGCTGCAGCACACCAAACAAACCAGCAGCAGCAGCAGCAGCAGCTCACAGGCGTTCCACCCCCAGACAGGCAGCAGCAATGAAGGCACCAGCAGCAGCAGCGGATCAAGGAGCAGCAGCGGCGGCAGCACCAGCAGCAAACCCCCAAGCAGCCGCAGCACCCGCACTAGCACCAGCAGCGGGGGACCAGCAGCAGGAGCAGCACTGGCAGCAGCAGCAAGCCATCTGGTAACAACAGCAGCAGCAAACCAACGAGCAGCAGCAGCAAAGAAGCAAGCAGCAGCAGCAGCGAAGCAAGCAGCAGCAGCAGCATCAGGGTACCTGGCGCTGCTGCAGCAGCTGCAAGAAGGCTTCTGCCCGTACTAGACACCAGGCACTCCACTCTGCTTCTTGCTGCTGCTCATGCATCAGCAGCAGCAAGCGGCGAACCCTCCACTGCCGCTGCAGCAGCAGCGCTTGCTGCTGCAGCATCTGCGCATCTCTCTCTTCCCTCAGCGCTTCCTGCCAAGCAGCAAACCAATGCCTCAGCTGCAGCAGATGCACCGCAGCAGCAGCTTTTCGTTGCTGCTGCTGCTGCTGCAGCGCTCGACGCCAAAGGCGGAGACACCCCAGCAGCAGCAGCTGAGGCCCCGCCTCCTTCTGCAGCTGCTGCAGCGCTGCTCCTGCTCGTGCTGCATGCTGTCTTGCTGCAGCAAAGCGCCTCCAGGCAGCAAATGAGTTGTAGACAGCCAGCTGCTCCTCCCGCTGCTGCCGAGCAGCAGCAAACTGCTGCAGTTGCTCCTGCTTCAGCGCGTGCTGCTGCATGCGCTGCAGCACGAGGCCGCAGCGAGCCTCCACAGCACTGAAAACATAAACAGCAGCAGCAGCAGCAGCAAACGCAGCAGCAGGAATAAGCTTGCCTCTTCTGCTGCCAGTACTGCGGCTCTCCCTACACTAGATTGGTTTGCTGCTGTCTCTCTCGCCGTTGCTGCTGCGCTGCTGCCTCGGTGTAGCAGCCGCTGACTTTCTATGTCTATTGCTGCAGACTGTCTCTATCTTTATCTAGTTTATATTGCTCTGTCTCTCTCTACATACAGCTTGACTTGCTGCAGCCCCTGCTGCAGCTGTTTCCCTGCTGCAGCGCGCAGCAGCTGCTGCAGCTTCTTGCTGCGGATCGCCCGTTGCTGCAGGCATTGCAGCACCTCCCGCTGCTGCTGCTGCTGCAGCCGCCGCACGCATGCAATCAGCAGCAAAATGCTGCGTGATAGACAAGCAGAGAAGCGCAGCGCAGCAAACGCCCGCCGCTGCAGCTGCTGCTCGTAGAAGCAGCAGCAGCGCAGCAACTCCTTCCAAGCATTCCACACCATTCTCTTTTGCTGCTGCTGTTGCTGCTGTTGCAGCAGCCGCATGCGCTGCTGCCTCTCTGCATGCAGTCGGAGGGCCTGAAGATGCACAACACCCAACTGCAAAACCCTGTTTGGCTACAGAAGCTGCTGCAGCTAATGCTGCTGCTGCTGCTGCAGCTGCTGCAGCAGCAGCAAGATGCATCGCAGCAGCAACTTACATGCAGAACAGTACCAGCAATCTGATGGTGCCGCTGCAGCAGCGCCCGCTGCGCCAGCAGCTCCAAGAGGGCCTGCCGCTGCTGCACCCAACGCCATTGTGAGAAGGCATGCTGCAGCAACCTGCAGCAGCAGCACGGCAGCAGCAGCAGCAACACTCGCGGCTATAGCAGCAGCGCGAGGACCAGAAGTAGGAGCCTTCCCCCGCAGCATACACTCGACTAGCAGAAGCAGCAGCAGCAGTAGCATATCTGCGGAGCATCTTTCATCAACTGCAGCAGCAGCAGCAGTAGCAGCAGCAGCATACCTGCGGGAGCATCTCTCATCCACTGCAGCAGCCGCTGCTTGAGTTTTTGCTGCTTGCCTCCAAGACAGAAACAAATGCAGCAAACGCTGCCGTCTGCATGCACTGAACTGTTTTACCTCTCTGGCCCTTCGCCGCGCAGCCTGCAGCAGCAGCAGCAGCAGCAGCAGTAACAGCAGCAGCAGCAACAGCAGCAGTAAGCATACTATAAGCGTATATGAGTTCTAAAAGCAGCATCAAGACAAGCAGCAGCAGCTGCTGCTGAAACGGCTTCTTTTTTTCTACAGCAGCAAGAACTCACTGGGCTCTCACAGCAGCAGCAGCAGCAGCAGGAACTGCAGCAGCAGCAGCACGCACCTCTCTGAGGGCCCCAAAGCTCTTGCGAGCAGCAGCAGCAGCACGCCGCTGCAGCAGCCGCTGCAACCGATAAGCGAGACGCCACATCCCTAAAAATCTAGCAGCTAAAGCTTTCCCATGAGAGCCTTGAAGCTGCTGCTTCTGCTGCAGCAGCAGTAGCTGCTGCTGCCGCTGCTGCTGCCTTGCTGCTGCCAGATCCTTCCACGCAGAAAAGCAGCGGTTCAGCCGCAGCAGCACAGCAGCAGCAGCACCCACCGAACGCAATGAAGCAGCACGACGCCGCTGCAGCAGCAGCAAACGCCACCGCTCGAAGACCTCGTGCTGCGTCCGGATCTGCAGCAGCAGCAAGCACACACGCGGCCCCACACCTGGTGTTGCTGCTGCTGCTGCTGCTGTTGTTGGTCCAGCTTGTGATGCGCTGCAGCTGCTATTTATTGAAACGCTGCTGCTGCTGCTGCAGAAGCTGCTGCTGCTGGGCTTGCGACTGAACACCAAGCCGGAACTGACGCCGGACCGTTGACGCTGCTGCTGCTGCTGCTACTGCGTTTGCTGCTGCTGCTGCTGCACTCACGGTTTGCTGAAGGGTGGCACATGCCTGGCACCACTCAAGCCTCCTCCGCATGTTAACAGCCTGCAGCAGCGCAGCAAAGCCCCGCTGCAGCGTCTGCTGCTGCACTCTGCTGCTGAGTGCATGCAGCCGCAGCTGCTTCCAGCCATGCCGCAGCAGCGGCTGCTGCTGCGCCACCAGCGCAGCAGCAGCTAGACGCCTCCCAACCACGTACAGCCGCCAGGACTGCAGCAGCTGCTGCAGCAGCCGCTGCTGCTGACGGCGCCGTAGCTGCAGCACATCAAGAAAAACCACAAAGCCGCAGCATGCTGACACATAGCAGCAGCAGCTGCTGCTGCTGCTGCAGCACTTGGACTAAGCTTGCACCAACTGGAAGCAGCACGCAAACCTGCAGCAGGCTAGCCAGAGCAACGAAAGCCAGCAGAAGCGGAAGCAGCAGAAGCAGCAAAAGCACAAATAGCAGCAGCAGCAGCAGCAGCAGCAGGCGAAGCACCTGTGTCTCTAGAGAATGCAGCCTTGCTGCAGACGCCCACAAGCCAAACACCTGAGACGAAAGCCGCGACTGCCATAATGCTGCAGCAGCAGCAGCAGCACGCCGTACCTGGCGCTGCTTCCTGCAGCAGCAGCAGCAGCAAAAGCAGCAGCAGCAACAGCAGCATGCATTTGCTGCCTCTAGCAGCAGCAGCAAAGCATAGCGGAGACAGAAGAGAATAGCTGCATGCACTTACAATGTCCATTGGTGCCACTCATTCAGCACGAGAGCAAACAGGTTTTGCTTCTGCTGCTGCTGCACTGCAGCAGCAGCAGCAGCAGAACGCCGCATGCGGGGCTCTACCAGGAGACGCCACCTGAGCAGCAGCCGCCGCAGCAGCAGCAGCGACACGTGCTGCGCTGCAGCAGCAGCAGCAGCCAGCCGCTGCTGCCATACGTCGCGCCAGGCCATCCACGTTTGTTGCTGGAGCAGGCGGTTCTGCTGCTTCCGCAGCAGCAGCACCTGCT